ACTGGGAAGGAAAGGGTCTCTGCCTTTAAGGACTTACAACTTTGTTGGAGACCAGACGACAAGTCTGACAATGTCACCTCTCCAGACACAATCCCTGTATGTAATTACCGAAATTCATTTGAGCATCCATCTGCGTAAGCTTCTTGTGGGTTTTTCACAATTTTGCAGGGGTGTGACGGTGTTATCAGGCCTTTAGGTAGCTAAGGGGCTGAGTAAGAGACAAGCTTAAGATAAAGAACACGGAGAGACTGAGAAGTCAGCCTCAATGTTCTTTGGTTTCTCCGTCAATGAGACTCTTGACCCCTTAGAGTCCTAGCCTCATGGAACCTATATTCTGCCCATGAGTGGTCCAGAGACACATCCACAGTGCTAGCAAGCAAGCATTCAGCCAAAGTGTCACCCGCTGCCATTACCATGCCCTCCCTTCACACCCTAGACGACCATTATTAGACCTTCCTAAAATGCGGAGAATTTAACAATCGCTGTTACCTCTAATACACATATTCGAACTTTATCTTTCTAAAACCTGGCAGCCTTTCTAATCAGAGGAAAGTTCTGACGGCCCACGGGAGCAGAAAGGCAAAGAGAGAAATCACATCCAGCCCAGTTGCCCAGGATCCTCTCACTGGTCGGCCTCGTGGGCCTGCGTTTCCCACACGGGGAAGTCTCTCTGTCCATCCGCACAGGGATGCCCGCGTTCTTGGGGCTCACTCCTGCAGTTCACAGTAACCCAGCGGAAAGGTGTACTCGGACTGTCAGGGCTTCTTAGCCATTCTTGGCTTCAATTACAATGCCTATGGATTTTTATGCCAACATGAAAATGTTTTAAATTTGAATTACTAGCTTCTAGCAACCCTCCAAACCAACGTAAAATATTTAATGCTCCATCTTAGTTTGTTTAAACTGATCTTCTGTCTGGAAATTTTGGCTGCTGTGCACAGTAGTGTCCAGTCCCAGAGAAAGCAAAAGCAAAGAAGCTTTTATTTCTATGAGCTGCAGCCTTTCATGCCTAAGTTCATCTCCACCAGAGTCATCATTTATTGAGATGTGTGTGCTTTACACATATTAATCCATTCATTTAATCAGCAAGCATTTATTGAGCACCTACTGTCACACATTTAATTAGGCATTAGAGATAAAAATGATATGCAAGTCCAAGGTCACAACTCTGTGACAACCTGTGGGGAAAGCAGATAATCAAATAACCAATGATTATGCAATGTGGTAAATACTGTGATAGGAAAAACAGGTTATTAAAAATAATCGTAGGCAGTGACTCTGTGTCAGATGTTCGTAGCCACTGTCTCTAATTCTAACAACATCCTGCAGAAGTAGGTGTCTCCCCACTTTCCAAATGAGTGTGCTGTAGCTGAACCATAATGCACACTGCCTCTCTACTGGCGTCAGCATCTGCGTCACCATTGCATCTTAAATCCTCATCCTGGTCTCAACATTGCACCTGCCAATCTGCTTAACTCATTCAGACATCAATCAAATTTTGCCTGGTATCATGCAGCACACTGCACACCCTGGGGAGAAAAGACCACCCGAAAGAACTTTGAAGCTAGCTACAAGGACACTAATGACACAAAGCAAGGGTGGGGCATGACCCAGGGAAGTCTGTGGTCATGGACCAGCGGAGTACTTCAGACAGTGTCATTTGGCTCCTAAAAGGGAGAAAGCATCGCGGAGGCATTTATTCAGGAGGTGGGACCCAGGTCTTAAGATCATGTAAGGTCAGGGAGCACAACAGGGAAGAAGTCCAGGCCCTCAGGAAAGCAGTCTTCAGAGAGGTGCCCAGAAAGCTCACAGGTTAGGCTGAACCACAGCCAAGTGTGTAACCGGAGCCCAGTGGTGGGGTAAGCCAGCCTGCAGTTGCCCCAAGTGCCAACTGATAAGAGACGCTAAGGCAACCTGGGGCTGTGAAACAACTCAAGTATAACAGCAGATGGAGAAATCTGCTTTTATAAAACCTCCTCCCATTGACCACTACATGTGATGGAAGCAGTTCTTTGTTCCGCCTCCTGGGATAGAGGGGGAGACCCCAAAGGGCCTGCTGGAGTCAATACAGATGGTCCCTGAATAGTCCTCTAAAGATGATGTCCGTTCACAAAATGGACTTGTTTCTACTCTGAAGGCGTGCAAGTGCGAGGCCAGAGAGAGGTGCATTACTGAGAATCAGAGTGGAGAGGCCCGGTGCTGGGTGCGATGGGCCTCCCCATGCCTCTTTTCCCACAGGGCCCCCGTTCCCCAAATTGGTCAGCAGATCCTAAAAGAATATTGAATTGCAGGCCAAGTTATTAGCCTGCTTGGAACGCCCACCTGTCTTGGCCAGTCCTGCAGACGATATCTATATTTGTTTAACTCTTTACTGCTGATAAAATACTTTTACATGTGTTAGATGACTTGACTTTCATAACAGCCATGAAATAATCACTAGGCCTCAAATTTTTCAGATGAAGATGCTGAGGGTCAAGAGAGGGTGACCTGTTCAAGGTTATAAAGCTAGCAAGCTGCAGAGCTGATTTTGGAGCAGGATATCTGTCCAGTGGTCTGTCTGCTGTATCACTACAGCCACAATCATACTTTATAAAGTTCTTTAGAGTTCAAAGCAAGCTTTTACAGCAGTCTGGGGCAGTACAAGCAGACACACACTAACATACATAGACAGACAGACAGAGAGACACTGACACACAGACACACCCACACACTCATCCTCCTACATACATACCCTCTGCTTCTCTAAAAGTAAAATAACAATAATAATATTCTACTTTTTTTAAAAAACCTATCTTTTCTCCTCTAGCTGTGGACCTTCTCTTAGTACATTTATAAGGTAAGTGAGTAGCTATTATTTAGATGACTGAGAATTATAGTATGTACGGTCTTAAATCCTAGATGTTGGTCTGTCTGTAATTCACTGCTTAGGACAATCTTGCTCTTGTGTTAAATATCTGCTCATTTCAATTTTCTGCCACGAAACTCCTGCCTCCACTTCCAATCTTCTCTCAGAGACACAGGAGGCAGCACCTTTCCTCCTTGGCTCCCATACGTCAGGACTTATTTTCAGTAAGTGGCTATTTGCAAGGCAGACATAAAAACCATTGGACTTGAAAAAAACTTCAAAGAACCAACCATTTAACCCATTTTTAGGCAAAATCAAAAGAAATAGCAGCTACATGGGCACGTATACTTTCCTTAAAAAAACACCACCCAACTCTCAGTTTTTCAGAGCACTTCTTTCAAAGTCGCAGGTCACAGAAATTAAATGATTCAAGAAAAAAATTGTCAATTACTCTTGGACAGTGGGGAGAAAGGCATACACAGAAATGTAAACAGAGCTGAAACCAAAGGGAAATGCTAGTGACAGATCCACACACCATTCTCCAGTGCAGGTGCAAAGGGCTTGTCATCACAGCCCCAAGATAAAGATCACAAACTCCCCGTGCCAGCCACAGGGAGGCCTCTTTTTTTTCTTCGTTCTCATTATACATAACTCTACCAAAAGATCTTAATGAAAATAAGGTCAATGTACGCAATCTATAAAGCCATCATCTCACCGAATTTTAATCCTCTCTTTATAAGAGAATTTATATAATCAGGCCACACTGCACAAACAGAATTAATATACCTATTTTCCCACTGTCCCTCTATATCCAAAGGAAAACTCCATATGTCATTCATCTTGCTGAAAACCACAGGGATAAAGTAATTTATTTCTAGGGAAACCAAGTATTTTGACCACATACTCGTAAACTTTAAACATATCCATGAAACATGATTTCTGAGAGCTTTCCTTCTGATTTCCCGACTCAGTAAATCTCCAATACAAGAGTATGCAACTCCAAAGCCAGTGATGTCCTCAGTCAATACCAAACATAAACAGAGAGATGCTGTTACCACAACTTTTAAAAAGTTGCTTGCATTCTGCACTATTTTTTGAACTCGATAAAAATTTAATTAAACTTAACTTCATAATTCTCATTCGGTAATCTAGGGTGTGGTGTCAGTAAATTTCCTTTTCACGAAAGGGAACCAAGGCATCAGGACATCAGGTGTATGTAGAAAAATACATATTTTGATAACAAATCTAAGTTAATACATACTTTTTTTGTTTGTTTGTTTAAAGATCCCTTTGCCTACTTTACTCATAATACAAATACACTGTAGTCAAATTTCTTATGTAGAATTTAAATTCAGGTGTCAAAACAGGGGGTTTCTGCTTAAGTTAGACAGGGCTCAACACATTCTGTCAAAAACTCAGTCAAGGGGAAAACAATCCAGGCTTTGGATGACCCCAAAGAAATCATTCTTTGTCCACCTAGGAACTGAAAGACTTTACGCTCAGAATCACAACTCTCATAGCAATAGGATAGGCTCTGAAGCCAGAGAGCCATATTAGACTCTCACTCATTGATTTGTTAAAAATTTAACATTAGGAATGAAACCAAAGCCACCACTAACACCCACTGCGTAATTAAATTCCTGGTTTGAGTCAGTTTCAAAATCTAAGCCTGACATCAACATCTGGCAAGTCTCCAATATACGGCATAATACTTGGGCATGTTACTCTGAAAATTCAGAAGGAAAGAATGAAGACTTAAAAAGCCTATTACTAACTTTGTATTCTCTGTTTAAATCACGCAGAAGAGCTAACTCCAGTTGCAATTATATCTTAGCGTTTGCCTCCTCCTTTCATAAGGCAAAAGCTGAATAGAGTACTGCAGACAATTCAATCTGTTCTTGTCCAGGGGTCTTGATCAATACTTTGCATCATCATCTAACGCTGGAACTGCCTCTCCACCCCCAGATCCTTGGAGTTTGTGGTTTATTTCTGGTCCCCAGCCCTCACTGGGTAACTCGTTTCTCTACAATTTGCGAAATCTCCTGCACGGATGAGGGAGACGCCTGATTCAAACTGAATTTGTTCACCGCCCACTGCCCCCAACAGTATGCATTCCCACAATCCAGTAGCGAGCGCCTCTAAGAACCCCCTGTACCTGCCAAGTTCCTCGCCGGTGTCGTAGTAATCATCCACGTTTTCCTGCCTGAACACGGTCATGATAAACTGTCACGCCTCACCAAAGCCCAGCGCACTTCAGCTCCGCTTCCCAAACCATCACCACCGCTCCTGCGCCTCCATGGGCTCCTCATGCATCAGTTTCCAGTCCTTTGGGGGGAGGGGGAGAGGCAATTAAGACTAATAAAATGACAGCCTAAAAAGGAAGTAAACCTACCCTGGTCTAAGACCTGCCCGCTGAAGACCACTTCTCCGGAGCTGCCCCTCCCACCAGGCAGGCAGGAGCACCCTTTGTTAAAACAGGGCCAGGGACACCCCTATGCCCCCATCGCCAGCGCGCTTGGGGCTGGGCACAAACGCACCCCAAGGTCCGCGTCCCCGAAAGCAGGGGGCTCTGCACTAATAAGAACCAGCTCCGGAAGTGACTGGCCTCCCCTTTTCTCTGCACACACGCCCACCCAGCTCCCCAACCACCTCCAGGGGCGCCGCAGAAGAATGAAGCCCTAGCCCGGGCTGAACGCGCCTGGCTGGAAGCATCACTCTCCAACATGCAGCAGCGGTGCTGCCCCCGCGCCACCTCCCGTCTCCCGCACCTCCGCGGCTACCCCCTTTCCTCCTTCCAGCCAGGCAGTCCCTAGAGGCACATTCCTGGCGATTCCCGCTGCGTTACCCCGCCGACCCGGCGTGCGGCCGCCCGGGGGAGCAGGGGAGGGAAGGGAGCGGCCGAGGGAGGCGCGGCCGCCCGCTTACTGGTCTCCGCGCCCTGACACAAAGCGCTCGGCCCGGCCCGCGCCACCTGTTCCCACCCAGCCCGCGGGACTGGGGGCTCCTCCTGGCTGCGATCCCACTTCTCCCCGCAGCCAAGTTTCCCCGCCTTGGCCTTCTCGGTGGCCCGGGGCGCTGCCCCGGCAAACCTCGCCGCGCTGCGGCCGCGAAAGCAAGAGCAGGCGTCGGGGCCCTGGAAGACCCGGGGGACTGCGCGCGGTCACTTACCCGGGCGCCCGGGAGCTGCCCGGGTCCCTCCGTAGCGCTGCTGGAGGCCGACCGCAGGCGCCAGCGCCGGATACGAGCCGGGCGGCGGCAGGAGCGCAGGGAGGGAGCGAGTCGGGAGCGCGGATCTCGTGCGTCCGCCCCGGCGTCTGCTCAACCGGGCTCTCCCACTCCGGCTCCGGAGCAGCCCTTCGGCTCCTCGCCGGCTTCCGGGCGGAGGGCGGCCCGCAAACGACCAATGGGGACCCCGCGGGCGGGCTAGCGGCTCGGCCCACCCACCTCCAAGCTCTCTGGCCCGGCCAGCGCTGCGGTTTGTGAGCGGCGCTCCCGACTCCTCTCTGCTCAGTGCTTCGGACTCGCTGGCGCGCTCTACCGCGCACACCCTGCACACACCCACTCACCCCACACCCACGCCGTGAGGGGACTGAGCGCAGCCGCGCGCAACGTGGGCGCCCCACCTGTGACACGTCGCTACCCTGCCCCCTTCCGCTGGGTTCCAGAGAAACGAGATCCCTGCGTCCCACAAAAGTGCTTGATCGCCGGCTGTGTGCCAAGAACGGTGCTCGCCAAGAGAAAATCACCAAGACCAAAAAAATACATTTAAAAAATCCTGCCCCCGTGAAATTTACATTCTTGTGGAGAAGATGTAAGCAAATAAATAAGATCTGTTTTCAAGATATCATTGCTATTAAGGCAATACAACATGATAATGGGATAGAGAATGGCGGGGAATGGGCTGCATTAGATGGAGCTCCTCTCCGGAATAGGTGCTTTGAGCTGATACCAACTATAAGAAGGTGTGCAACCAGAAAAAAATAGGTCGAGGTCTGAGGCCCAATGAAGCAACAGAAACCAAGGGTGTATGTGTGCAATATTGGCTATTGATGAGTTGAAATGTGGTGAGTCCCAAATAAGGTGCGCAGTGTGAAGTACACGCTGGATTCCATGACAGTATGGAAATAAGAATAAAAAAAAAATCTCATAAATACTTTTATATTAACTATAAGTTCAAATGATAGTATTTCAGATATATTGGGTTAAATAAATGATATTGTTAAAATTAATTAAATTTTTTTTTAAATATGGCTATTAGAAAATATAAAAGCACCAGTGTGGCTGGTGTTATATTTCATTGAGCTGAGCTAGCCTACACACAGAACCCATATCTAGTGGAGACCCCTTATCCATTCTCTGGACTTCTTACCCCATGTTTCCACCAGGCCTTTGGATGGGGGAAGCAGAAAGGATGGTTCCCCCACAGGGACTGCTAGGGATCCCCAGAGAAAAGCCCCCATAGGGACATTTACCATTCTGCCTAGAATAACAAAAACTGACCTGTGAGATCTCTGAGATTTCAGATTCACAGCATTGTTTACATTCCCGGATTTTCTAAAATGGAATGATTTAAACTCTCTTCGATTCAACAGAAATGTTCAACCTTAGAGATTTTGATCTCTTGGGGGAATAAAAAAAAGCCCCCCACACTTTGTCACACCCTTCTCTTAGAGAATTGTTCATTTCATGGCTCACAAGAAGAGCACATGTTCATGAGACAGAATCTAGGGAAGGTTCTAAATTGGGAGGTTGTATGTATCTAAGTGCTGGGTTTAAGAATTAATACAAAAGGACATAGGAAGGTGAGAAATAGTCAAAAATAACAAAAAAAGTGATTCATCTGGGGGAAATGTAAATGAATACATCTGTTTGGGGGGAAATGAAAACACAGATGCTTGTGAGAAACTTGGAAAGTGCTTATGGATCGCTGCTTTATGGATATTTTTTTCCTGCACAATAAACGTGTGTGTGTGTTTTTCAAGGCAATGAAAAGTAGTGGCTCCGTTTGGGCACTAGCATGTTTTCCCTACCCTATTTGGCATGCTGATCATAGGAGATTTTCTGGGCTTGTGAAAAAGAGCTTGGACTTGGGAATCACAAAATTGGATCTAATATTGGTGGAACCATTTCACAGCTGAATGACCTTGGTTTTGTCACCTTACTTACTTCTGAGCTTCATGTCTGTGCTAATTTAGGAAAGCATTTTAGACAAGGAAAATGTGGTAATTGAAAAACATACCCAAAAACTCAGTCAAGAAGTAGATTCTACTTCCCCTTCCCATGAATAAGAGTTGGCCTTACTGGCTTGCTTCTAAGAAAATGTGGTAGAAGCGACACAATATAATGTCCTTCAAGGCTAGGTCATAGGTGTTAGAGTTTCTATCTGTCTGCCTGTCTGCCTGTCTCTTTCTCTCGCTTTTGAACATATAATTTCTTGCTCTCTCCGCTCACCCTGGAAGTCTTCAGCTGCCATGTTTACCCAGGAGCTCCTGAGTGGAGAGATCACAGGAAGAGAGAAAGAAGCCAGCTGTTCCAGCCCTACCCCCAACCTCAGCTATTTATGCCATTACAGCCCAAGTTCTGTGAGCAGAATAAATGATTGTTATTGTTTTACTTCATTATTTTTGGGTGGTTTGTTACACACCAGTAGATAACTTATAAGAAAATAAGAAAACCTAACTTGTAACATGTATCAGGCTCCAGGCCAACTAAATTTTTCTCTCACTTAATCATCAGATAACTCTATAAATGAGTTGTTTTTCCACTTTCTACTTAAACTTCTTAGTCTCAGTTACATGACCTGCAAAATGGCAACAATAATAGACCCTTGCATATTCCTCAGAGTTGATGGAAGAATCTAAAGAGATAATGCATGAAACAAGACTTTGTACGTTATAAAATACACAGAATGTTGGGATTCCATTTTCCATCATGTTCCAAGCAAGAAAGGCTCTAAGGGACAACTCTCAGATTGAAGACAATAATGCAATAGCCCTGAAATCATGAGATTCAAGCTGTAAAGGATTTCCATGAAAATAACAGAAGATGCGGGTGATATATTATGGTTATCATGGTGATAGTATTTAAAAGAGACTCAAACATAGATTTTAGAACATTATTTTATATCTGTTATTAGTCAGGGTAAGACACCTACTGCTGTAAAACCCAACAATATCAGGAGTTTGACACATTCAAGGATTATCTCTTGCTCTCAGCACAGATGTTTGCAGGGGATAGAGAGAGGGCTCCACTCTCCATAGTATTCAGGGACCTTGGTTTTGCCCTGTAATGGATCCATGGACCCTCATTACATCTGAGTTTCTCAGTTGGTCGTTTTCATGTATTGGCTGGTGAGAGAAGAGAGAATCCAAGCTGCTCCAGAGGTCAGGTTAGAAGTCTAAGGCTTAAACATTTGCAGGAGACGAGGTGTTCTAAGAGCAATCAAAGTGAACCACATTAGCCCAGGTCACCTTTGGGTTACTTTTTAATAACATACCTTTGGCTTTTATTAAGGATTAATATTTTTAAATGGCTCCATGAGAAAGTTTCTGCACCTGTGGTTTTCCTGTTCAAGATAATGCCCATTATGAGCCTGAGTAGCTCCTGTATAGGCAATCCCATGACTGATTTCAATTCCTCCCAGCACTGAGTGCTAAGAGAACTTGCCTCTCCTAACCAAATGATGTTTCTTTTTTTGTCAAACAATGAAAATTATAGAGCTCACTCTGCTCTCCATTTCCCCCTGGATTCCAGAAAGTCCAAGCTCAGAAAGTATAGTCCTTCAAGCAACATCCAATTCACCATGTCCTCTAAATCAATCAATTTTCTAATATATATTAGGTGCCAAGGGTGCAGAGAAAAAAGGAACATTCTCTGTCCTCGAGTAACTAAGTCTAATGAGGAAGACCAATGAACAAAGAGACAGTTCCATTAAAGGGTGATTGTGCCAGATATAATCCATTTGCTTCTCTAGATTACTAACCACCCCTCTCCTCTCTGACAAGTCAGCAGGCTGAGCTATACGATTATTTTAACTCATTTCCTTGTCCTCTGGCTCCTGATCAGTTCAGCCAGTAGGGGATTCTGGCATGAGGTCAAGTAGAAGGGAGGAGATTGAGGCCAGGATAATGATTCTCCTGCTTTTCTCTCTACAAGGTTGACTCAATCACCGTCAAGCCAAAGGCACTTCTGCTCCCCAGGTAACCTCTTCTACGTAACTTTCTCTGTCCAGGCTTTGGCAACCACGCTCTGTCTTTGTCTCTTTGGACCTAGAATTGGTGCCAGCTCCCCTGTTCCTAACCTGGGGTTCTTGCCCCATCTCCTATGGTTTCTCTGCACCTCCTGGAATGATCCTCCCTTGGGTGTGCCATCTCTTTCCTCTGGGAACCTGGTTGGTAGTGTAATGAGAGAGGAAGCTCGGACTGCTATGGAAACGTGAGGGGTGGGCACTTAACTCAGGTAAAGGTTAGGGATGGAGGATGATGATAGGGGTGAGTCTCGGGTTTCAGGACAGTTCCCTAGAGGAGCTGACATCCTAATTAAAAATGTGAAAGAGGAGTAAGAGCAGGAAAAAAATGGTGGATGATGAGATGGTAAGGTTGGGAGATGAGGGCATCTAGGTAGAGGAAGACAGTGAAGCTAAAACAGCAGACGTGAGAAAGATAATGGCTCATTCAGCATCTGTAAGTAGTAAGAGCTCACACAGTGAAATGGCAGGTGAGACTAGAGACAGGATGGGTCTTCTCCACCATACCCAGGACCTGGATAAGACTGGAGAGGCAAACCAAGGTAGAGCTTGACAGTCTCGTTCATTATGCTCCCCACCCGGGTCTTCACTCTGAAGACTCTTTGATAACCAGGGTTGATTAATGCTAACTTGGCGCATTCTGGGAGATGATGGGTGGAGAGAAACAATAAGATACTTTAAGGAGATAGAAATCACAGAACTTGTTATTTAAGAAAAAGGACAGAGGTGGGGAAACATCCAAAGTTTTGGGTGAGTGATTGTATAGATATTGCTGCCACATAGGCTGAAACACAGGTGGACAAGCTGTCTGGGGAGAGAGAAAATGTCTTGGAGACATGAGGTTTGAGGTGCCTGTGGGACATCTAGATGGTGTTTAAGTGGAGATGGGTATGTATGGGATAGAGAGGGTGACCCTGGCGTCCACCAGGGTACCCTCGAGCATGGAAGTAGATGAGGTCACCTAAGAACAGGAGGCAGGACTAAAACGAAGAGCACCAGGGGCAGAACTCTTGGGAAAAGAAGCATATTAACCCAAGAAAATACAGAAGGGAAAGTATGCCAGGCCAGTCACTTCGATTACCAATTAGTCTCATGAGCAACTATGGTTTTACTTGCATTCCTTGGGGCCAGAATGGGCACCACTAATGGGTGGTGAGTGAAAACCTCATGAATGTTGAGTGCCTCATATGCCTCCTGTGTATACATTACATCATGAATATT